ACATCGTCTGAATTGTTTCAAGATGCAAAGATTGAATTGATTGCACACAATGCTGACCATCTTGTCAATGTCAAGCAGCTAGGGGTTCTCATTGGTGGGGAAATGGTAGCAGGACAGCTTGATTGCCTCATGAAATTGACAAAAAAATTTCAACTGACGATCAAACCAACTCCGATTCCAAAAAAAACAGCAGCAGCAATAAGAGCGGAGGCAGCAACATCCGCAATTAACAACAGGATAGCAAAACCAACAGGACCGGTCAAATCTGCACTTTGGAGGTCGGGTCGGAAGAGCCAGGATTAGTTTCTATTAAAAGGATGACGATTTTTTCACTTCCTTCTTTGTATCTCACCTTACATGCAGTCAGATGAGGGGGGATCAACCTCTTCTGGGTTAGAAATGGTATCCTTTGGGTCGATCGATCCCAATGCATCGTCTTCAGAATTGAGCATTACACGTGCCTCAGCAACATGTTCATCATCAGTGTGTTGATAGTGGCTAGGTATGTGTGAGCGGAGCCGACTGAGATCATGGTCTTTGTGTGAGATGATATCTTGGAAGGAAACGAGACCTTCTACATAAGTAGAGTCAATTGTGAGGTCACGGTAATATTGAGTTCGGTTATGTTGGTTAAGAATATCACTGTTGTGGGCCATCTGCTGAAATGATTTCAGCGAGCTCTTGGACAATGTCACCTTGTGACTTTGATACACTCGATGCTTGCCACTGTCTACTTGCAGGGAGAGGAACAGTGATCGGAGCTGAATGAAGACAGTGGTCAGATGTGCTTAGCCTGTGCCATAATAGCAACAAACTGGCCTAGAAATCATGCTCACCAGGGGAATGTTCATAGAAAATAGATTCTTCAGGCGGTCAACTTGTGTTCCGATGCCGCCACGGTTGAAAAAGAATTTGAGCCAGTAGTTATGGTTCTCCAAGAAAAAGTCCTTGGCCACAAAGTGGCAAGGACGACCACTGGGAGAAACCAACATGCTATGCCGGAAGTATTTACTGAGGGATGGGGACAATACCTTGGTCAACAGCAGTACTAACCGGGGTAGGTAAGTTGCATAATGGGTCAGGCCAGGTAATGACTGTGCCATCACCGACCACATCCTCCATACATTAATCAGGCGGCCTATTACCCATGCTTCATGGCCCGGTTTGCCTCAACTACTGTTGAGAAGTCATGAAGCCGGCCCAGCAGATTTGAAAGCTTTGATCTCCTGTGTCGTTGGTTGAGCAATTCGACCTCAGCCTCAGACAATTTTTTCTTCTTGGGCAGTTTGGGGATACTACACTCCTCATAGGCAGTGCGCCTCGCTTGTGGAGAGCAATACCTTTGATAGCAATCATCAATGATCTGGTTCCATTTGGGAATATCAATTTTGGGCCGATCGTCAGTTATGGGCTGCCGGTCAATCTTCATGACAACCCTGGAAATTACATCACATTAGTTTTGGATGTTCAGATAAGTAAACTAGGCTTCTTACCTTAGACAGTGGAATAGAGTTGCTTCATGTACTCTTTCCAAGTGTTGTATCATCCCTGTAAAATCTTTTTTCTGGAGAACTTTACTAGGAGGGGTGCCCAAAGCATTTAGGGTACGCCAGGCACCCATGTTCTCCGAGCTGTTCACATCTCCAAAGTGAGTTGTAAAAATAGTCTGTCCAATATTCCAGAGGGTGTGAGATGCCCCCAACTGAATGGTGATGTTGTTCATGTTCTCATTTGTTCGTTTGTTGGGATTTCGTAATGTCCGCATGGTATTGAAATTCTGGCAGGTGCCAAGGTCACCTTCCATTGGTTGTAACCGACCTGCAAACTCTTCAGGGGTGAGACCAGTTTTGCCTCTGCACAGACTCGATGACTTGCCCAATTCCTTCGGCTGAGTTGTCAGACTTCTTCCATCAACTTCAACATGTGAAAATTGGGTGCTTGTGGGGTTTAGCACTTTCTAGCTCTGGGAGGCTCGGTAGGATAGGGCCCCGGGCCCTTGGGTGGCTGGGCTCTGCAATGTACTTTCATCATCACCG